TGCGGATGACTAATATCACTCTAGAAATTCACTTCTTCACAAAGTTTGGTTCGTGATCGATACTTATTTCCTTCTGGTTTCACAAAAGTGACTAAAGAAATGGCAAGTCAGCGAGGAACTTGATGCAAGTTGCTCGTAGCTCGTTTCCAGCGATATGGTTCCAAACATAAAAGAGCCCAGCAATATCGTCGACCAGTTCTTCTCCAGCGAACGAGTTATCCATACAAGGAGGCTCTTCGCTGGGCGAAGAAATGGTCGGGTGTTACTGGAGAAAGCGAGATGTAGAGAGAATGAGTGAAAGAGCGAGAGCGAGAGAGAGAGAGAGAAAAAAAAAAGAGTGTTTAGAAAATCCCTCAAAAGAACGAGATCGTCGAGTCTGAAGATTGGGATCGTGGTGTTCCTAACCGTACCCGGAGACGCGAGAGCGAAGCGACAAAGCGAGATAGAGAAAGAGAAAGAGTAATAGAATGGTCCTTCTCGAATAACGGATGCGCAATAAAGCAAGTAGTAAAATCTCTAGTCCAGCGAGCGGCAGCTTTAACTCGCCTGCCAATCCAAAAAAGAAATGATGAGATGAGGAAGCGTGTTGATTTGTGTGCGAGAGAAAGAGAGAGCGAGAGAGAAAGAGAAGTAGAAGAGAAGAAATTTTATAAAGATACAAAGTTTTAATGAAAGAATAATTTGAAGAAAATTATCGCGCGTGTCGGACGAGACACGCGCATGGAGAAATCTTTTTATTAGATACGCTATTAACGATAGAACTATAATTGTAAATCGCGTTCGGCGTCGATGAGAGGTGTCAAAGCGAAATTCCCGCGATTCGATCAGTTGGCCCTGATTAATTTGCGAACTAAAAAACTACAACGACAAAACTAAATGGAAACGGAAAGGTTCAGATTCAGATACAAGTAGAAAGGGAAAATATTTCTGCGAAAGAAACGATGAACGCTGCCCGGAAACGTTAGGACACGTTGGATGACCTCGAGAAGGTATCCCAACGATAATACAGACGCTCTCGTTGATGTCAACCGGATGTCATTGTCGTCGTCGTGTCAGCATTACCGTGTATCGATGTGTACCGATTGATTAATGTTCTTACGTTCGTCACTATCGCTGTTCTTCTACCACCCCCGCCAAACCCTCTTACGTGACCGTTTCCATTCCAGACCGCGCGCAGATCGAACAGCCAACGCCACCAAAGGCACATGCGCTCGACTGCGCCAACTCGCGGCACATGCGGGCGCACGTGCCTCCTCAACCTCTGCGCGGTCAGATTCGTAGAGATATTATATAGATCTCTACGGTCAGAATCCGAGATTTCGTTTCTTTTTTTCGATTGTCACGCGAGGTGACTCTAACCTCTAAGTCTTTATGCGTTTTTTCTTTTTTTTTGTTTGTTTTACGAGTTTCTTTTTGTGTCTTTCGACGTGATACGCACAAGAACACTTGGGAGTGTGCACGATTCGGAAGTGTACGAAAGTCTGCGCGCGCACCTCGTCATATCATCGAGTGTGTGCTGTTTATTACGTCACGGTAAAAAAAAAAAAAAGAAAAAAGATACGTCACCTTGTATCCCCTCCCCCACCCCGTGCCCTGAGATGCGAAAGAAGTCTATGTGCGATAAGAGTTCTCTCCATGAACCTAACTGTAAAGATGCCGATACAAATTTATACATATGTAATATAATTCGTGCGGCCGTGTGCTGTTCTACACAATAAAAAGCCTGTAATATCTACGGACATCGTCGTCTGTTGAAGATCGATCCTTCTTCTTCTTCTTCTTTTTCCTGGAAACCTGAAAGAACTCTTCGACGACGAACAGAATATACATAATTAATTTTAGACAATTCTATTATCGTGGATTCACATTGACGTGGGAACTTTTGATGCAAACATCTTTAATATGAGCTGGCAAGTGACAGTATTAAATTGAAATGATAGGACCAGATTAAAAGTAAAGCTTTATTCGCAGTATAAAAATAGATGTACAAGTACGCTAAAAACAAGATTACCTATTAAAACGATGTACAGGACGAATACAAAGAAAACGAACGAAATCATTGTACACGGCAATACGAAAAGAATTCGTTGCTTCAGTCGGACCAGTCCGATAACGGAAAAAAGTTCCGTTAAAGAAATCTGATTCGTCTAATTTTCATCTTCACCCTCTCCAGCGTCCGTCGAGTCCATGCCAACTTCTTCGTAGTCTTTTTCTAAGGCAGCCAAGTCTTCCCTCGCCTCCTCGAATTCGCTCTCATCCATACTCTCCGCAACGTACCTGTTTCATTGAAATAATACTTCGCAATTGTATTGGGAATAACCTTTTATTTCATTTGCTATTATTTGGTAGCAATGTTACCAGTGGACGAATGCTTTTTTGCCAAACATCAGATCGAATTTTCTGTTCAACCGTGTCCACGCCTCTGCAATTGCAGTTGTGTTTGCAAGCATCGCCATGGCGCGCTGCACTTTGGCAAGATCCCCACCTGGTACTACGGTTGGTGGCTGATAGTTGATACCCACCTGAGAACGAAACTACTATATCATTTCAAATTTAAACTGTGGAGTATTTCAAAAATTCCCGCGGTACTGTGTGGTGCACAGTGAAACGCCATCTAGCAGGCCATGGACCAAACTGGACGTGAAGGTAACTTTGTGATACAGACAGTACCGCCAGATGGTATCAGTTATTACCATAAACTTGGAAGTGGCCTACATTATCAACAATCAGTTACAGCTGAACTCGAACGAAACTCCTGAAGACCGAGTTCCCTATGACATAATTATTCTCTTCAAGAAATGGGCGATGAAAGTACCTTGAACCCAGTAGGGCACCAGTCGACGAACTGAATGGCCCTCTTTGTCTTGATCGTGGCGATGGACGCGTTCACGTCTTTGGGCACCACGTCGCCCCTGTAGAGCAGGCAACACGCCATGTACTTCCCCCTCTGGGGATTGCACTTGACCATCTGCATGGCGGGCTCGAAGCAGGATGACGTCAGCTCCATGACGGTGAGCTGCTCGTGGTAAGCCTTTTCGATGGAGACTATTGGCGCGTACGTCGCCAGTGGGAAGTGGATCCTTGGATAGGGGACCAGGTTCGTCTGGAACTCCGTCAGGTCGACGTTGAGGGCCCCGTCGAACCTCAAGGAAGCTGTGATGGAGGAGACGATCTGACCGATCAGTCGGTTCAGGTTCGTGTACGTTGGCCTCTCTATGTCCAGGTTCCGCCTGCAGATGTCGTAGATGGCTTCGTTATCTACCAGGAACGCGCAGTCGGAGTGCTCCAGGGTGGTGTGCGTGGTCAGGATCGCGTTGTAGGGTTCCACCACCGCGGTGGAGATCTGTGGGGAGGGGTATATCGCGAATTCGAGCTTCGCCTTCTTCCCGTAGTCCATGGAGAGGCGCTCCATCAGCAAACTGGTGAATCCTGATCCGGTGCCACCACCGAAGGCGTGGAAGATGAGGAATCCTTGCAGACCGCTGCACATGTCAGCGATCTTGCGGATCCTGTCCAGCACGAGGTCGATTATCTCCTTGCCTAGGGTGTAGTGACCCCTGGCGTAATTGTTCGCAGCGTCTTCCTTGCCAGAGATCAGTTGCTCCGGGTGGAAGAGCTGATGGTAGGTTCCCGTTCGTACTTCGTCTAGGGATGACGAAGGCAAATGATACTGAATTTTTTTTATAATAACTATGGATAATAGATGAATGAATTAAAGTTAGATATGCTTACCTATGACCGTGGGTTCGAGGTCCAAAAACACGGCACGAGGAACGTATTTTCCGCCACCCGTTTCACTGAAGAAGGTTTGAAACCCTTCGTCGTTGGTGCATCCTTGAGGTGGTAGCATGCCGTCGGGTTGTATGCCATGTTCCAGACAGTATAACTCCCAGCAAGCGTTTCCCATTTGAACGCCGCCTTGGCCAATGTGAACTGAGAGTACTTCACGCTAATTAATTTAATGGGAAATTGTTTAAGTTATTTTGGGGAGTCAAAAAACTCCTTTGGGTATTTCGATGGAAGTCAAAGGAACTTTCTGTACTGAGGCTATGGAGACGCTATTTAGTTAAAACTATTATTTAGATAAATAATCGGGGAAAAAGCTTGATAATATCAAATCTATTGAAGCAGGAATTACCATTTTGCTGATTCCTCGATGATTTTAGGGACCTGGAGGGGACCTGAGATTGACGAATCCAGTTGACGAGATGAACGACTGAATCCAACTGAATGTTGGAGACTTGGTCTTGAGGAATTTTGTTTTAGTTGCTGGGTGACAATAGTAATTATACTGAAGTAATTTGTAATTAAAGTAGATGTCAATTGAACGACGGGAATGTCCGTGTACGTAGCAAAGGCGTAGTTTTATAGTTTTTGGTTTAATTTTTATTAAAATTGTTGAGAATTTTTTCGGACAGTATAATTCGATCAGAAAGTTTTTTATTCTTTTTTTGAACGATGCTATGAAGAAGTATTAATTTTTATTAGTCGAGGGTGGCCACCCCTGTTCCAAGAACAGTTCGCTCCGTGAATCAGCGGACGAGGTGGCCGAGAGGTTAAGGCGTTGGACTGCTAATCCAATGTGCTCTGCACGCGTGGGTTCGAATCCCATCCTCGTCGACTAATTTTTTTGCTTTTACTAAAATCATACGTAACTTATTTTTTCACTTAAACCTCCACGTTTGAATAATTATTAAATATATCCTCTTACTAAATAAAAACAACTAATAACGAGTACTTACGAAAAAATTTTTATAAAGAATAATGTAACAGTGTTAGTAGTATTAATAGTGGTGGTAGTCTATTTAATCACATGCAAGAAATGAATCATAGGAACAATGAAACATGACACGCTGCATCTACTACCTACACAGGAATTATCATTAAAAAAGAATGAAAGTCGACGTCATGTATCGAGGGTGTTACATTTAAATTCCATTTGATAACGAAATAATTCCTTTATTTTGAGATTAAATTTATTATACAAATTATTTACTATTCGTTTGTTGTAAAAATATTATTTAACGCAAGTAATACAATAGTATTATGTTACACAATTGCGGTATATAAATTTATATCGATACTATAATTATACATTGGGACTACGCGTATAAATGCACGATAAAAATATTCTTTTTTGTTAATCGCAGATTAGCTAAGGCACCGTTTTGATTGTACAGGTATTACAGACATGAGATTACTGACAGTGAGTGAACTAAGACAGGTCATGTAATAAGTTAGTTTGAAAATATTTTATTTTTCTCCCATTTTCAACGCATGCGAGATATTTTCTTACTCTTGTCGTTTTCGATTGGGGGTGGCGGTCCTTTGGCATTGAGGTGTCGATTATATACACTGAAAATTACGCACATTGTTTTTAAACGCGTAATTAACACGTAACATAACTTACTTCTGATACTCACTATTTATATGTTTCAGAACGAATGTAATCCATGACGTGAGATATACCCACTTGCAGTTGGTCACCAATTGGCGTTACCCACGGATTGAACTCCATCCTGAATACTGCTTTGTTGCTCACTAAGTCCAGGTTACCTGTAACATAATTCTCAGTTAAGTATCTTCGAGGTATAATACAATCATTTTATCGTATTTATCATAGTTGGCACATACCTATCTCTGGTGGCAAAACTGTCAATCGATTCCTTTGAATATGTAGTTCCCTAAGCCGTGTCAGTTCACCTATTTCTTTTGGTAATTCTATTAAATCGTTTTCTCTCAGTACAAGCTAGAATGAAATTAAAAAGTACAAATGTATTAGTAATAAATACAGTTTATTATGAAAGTTCTTGTATACTTACAATCTGTAAATTCTTTAACTGTCCAATTTGTGGAGGTAAATATTCAAAGTCGTTGTCAGCCAAATAAAGTGCTCTTAACGTTTCTGTAAGGCAAAATATTGTAGCTAATGGCTGAAACAAGTTATAGTATTTTTTAATAATTGATCTTACACTAACCCATCATGAAAAAATTTCCAGGTAAATTCGTCTCGCTAAGATTATTGTACGTCAAGTCCAGAACTTCTAATACTGGGAATGCACCAAATCCACGTGGAAGCACATCCAACCTGTTCATTCTGTAAGTTCATTTCAATCGCTCTTTAAGAATTCATTTGAGATTTGTGTGTGATTGATGTAATATATGTATTTAGACCCTCGACTTACCCCACATTGAGAATCCGCAGCTTTGGCATCTGTGACAACGAGACAGGAAGCTCTGTGATGTGATTGTTAAACAGATTCAGTATTTCAAGATTGACTAAATTTGCTAGGCCTGGTGGTACAGCTACATAGAAAAGATATTTGTAGATAATACAGTTTGTCATTCACTGCTAACTCTGATTTTACAGTGAGAATTTACCTTGAATTTTATTATGGCTTAGAGTCAACCTGGTTATGTTGATCATGTTAACTTGAAAGAAAAGATGAATTCATAAATATAGAGTCATATGCTGCTAGAGAAAATTTAAAAAAATATTAGGAATCAGCAAAACGTTAGGAATTCATGAACAAATTTATTTCTTTAAAACAGACCAATCTTGGATTTAAATTGCACGTTCTTGGGAATCCCCTATTTCTCCATTTAAAAGTTACCAATGATTCCCAATGACTGTCAGTACAAATATGAAATTATACACTTCCTACAGAAGGAACATTCTTTTTAAATAATTTTGCGATCTGATTTCGCGATTGTTTGAAATAATTGTGTAGTTTTCAAAGCGATTTGGCGCGCACGCGTGGACACGCCCACCTCGTGGGCAGTGACAAATGGCCACCTCGGATTTCCGTCCGCTCCAAAAAACCAGTCATGACAAGTTGCCTAATTTGGCGAAGAGGAAGCGAGCCCACGAGGGTATGTAAGACTCACGCAATCCAGGCATCTCCTCGAACGTCGAGATCCCCTTGTCCGCGAGATCCAACTCGGGATTTTCAATCTCTCGAGCTTCATCGAGCACCTTTTTCGCTTTTGACATCTTCCCCGCAGGAATACACGACACTGGTGCCTGATTCATTGCGCGCGCAATTGTACCAACGCGTCAGTAAGCTTTAAATAAACATACGCGCACCTCCCTGCGACTTCGCGACACTGACTGGACTTCACTGCATTTTATTTTACGGCTGGGATCTTAACGTGAATCACCGACAGATGGCGCCCACGTTCCATAATTTTGACTATAAAAATATGTTCGGAGATCGGGATTTTTTTTTAATTTCAAGCACTTGTCTAATTTTGTCTGTGTTTGAATTGTACCATTGTCAACGGATCTTGCAAGTATCCAGATGCCACCAAAATAAAAATTTTCAAACACGCATTCTCGACTTTTCTCTGTATATAAATGTAATTTTACATTCTAACTGCCATACTACAACTACTAGTTGTCGATTAGTACGCTAATAATTGCCTAATGCTTAGTTTCTTAAATAAATAAAAATACCGAAAATGTAGCGCGATCTAGCGTCTAGAAGTAGGAACTATATCACGACAAACTTGAGTAGTTCGCCGAGAGATGGCGCCACAGCTTTCGATAATTCTATTTATTTAAAAAACTTGTTATCAGTCGATTGTTAGTGTACAAATCAACAATTACATGTTGAGTTATGATAATTACTATGTAAAATTTCCTACTAACTTCCTTTCATTCTCTGGCACATTTCCCCTTAACTTCCCTCCAATCCTTGGCATATTTTCCTTTAATTTCCTTCCATGTTCTTCAATATTTCCCTATAATTTCCCTCCATTCCCTGGCATATTTTTCTTTAATTTCCTTCCATTTTCTGGAATATTTTTCTTTAATTTCGCTCCATTTGCTGGTATATTTCCCTTTAATTTCCTTCCATTTTCTTGATATATTTCCCTTAAATTTCCTTCCATTTCCTGGTATATTTCCCTTTAAGTTCCTTTTATTTCCTTACATATTTCCCTTTAGTATTCCGCCATTTCCTGGTATATTTCCCTCTACTTCCTGGTACATTTCCCTATAATTTCCCTTCATTTCTGTGATATTTCCCTATAATATCGCCTCTGTGATATTTCCTGGTTCAACAATGTTGCAATGGCTCCGCTCAGAAACACAACAATGTTGCAAATTCAAGAATGTTGTAAATTGCTCCGTTCGGGACTTCAACAATGTTGCAAAGTCGAGTCGATTTTTCGGATTTTGTCACATTTTGCCGAACTTCTGAGTTGCCACATTGTTGTACTTTTGAGCGGAAAAATTTGCAACAATGTTGCGAAGCGCAAAAGTACAACAAAGTGGCAACTCAGAAGTTCGGCAAAATGTGACAAAATCCGAAAAATCGACCCGACTTTTGGAACACTGTTAAGCTTTTGAGCTGATCCATTTGCAACATTGTTGTGTTTCCGAGGGGAGCAATTTGCAACATTGT